TACCAAGTCTACCCTCTCATCCTCAGCCATAGCTTGCCTGAAATGAAAGAAATTTTTATTTTCAATAACAGAACTGCATTCTGAATTCCTTTCAGTAAACATTCTAACAACAAATGAAGGAGAAAAATATGAGAACATTCACTATTTCTTACCCAATGTCTGCTCCACCACAGACAAGGGAGCAAACAGCTCCAGGAACTGAGTTCTGAGCCAACACCTCACTAACAATCCTGAGGAGAAAGAGACAGTCCTTAACACAACAATTTCTTCAGAAAACTTCCACTTACAATTATTTTAAAACTCTCACTTTCCTTGAACATATTGTTCAATTATTATTTATAATGTTCTATGACTGAAATATTTGTGATTTAATGTGGGTGGCAAGAAAATTAAGGGGTTTGAATTTTTTGATGAGAGGCTTCACACAATTGTCAGAACTCTACCCTCACTGTAAGCCTATGACATCCTGAGAACTTGAAAACAAAAACAAACCAGGACCAAACTAAGGATGACTGTAAGACTCATACAGAAAGATTGTTTATTTTTTAAGACTCATTTTTAAGAGCCATTTGCTTAAAACTCACTTACTTTGTAACAGCAACACTTGTCAGGGGAGTTGATGGGGCACCCTTCCTGTAGGACAAAACAATAATTGGGAACAATTTTAAAAAACACTCAATTAATATCACACATTTAGTACATGATATTCCTTTAAAACAGAAGAATTTCTAAATAAATGGGAAAAAAAAAGGCTAAAACAGAATTATATTTCTTGAGATCCCTACCAAAGATTGACATTTCCGCACACCATACTGATACTGCTGTTCCAGCCAAAAACAGCCACAGGAAAATTAAATGCCGTAATGATTCCTACCAAGCCAACTGGATTCCACTGCTCAAGAAGTGTGTGACCAGGACCTGATACAATACAATGCAGGAAATCAAATTAACTTAAAGTGATAATGAAGAGATAATATGCAAGCTACAAAGCGATCATGAAGCAATCTACCAGTAGTCATAAACAGCTGCAGTGTTAGAACACAGGACTTGTTCTAAATTAACCTGACTTCAACTGTTTTGCTGTACTTTTTAAAAAGACCAACTGGTCTACCTTCTCTCAAAAGCTATCCATAGCTATACAAATTAAGATTGAACTGCATCACTGTGAAGTTAGTGAATGACAAATCTTACGTTCCGAGGGAAGAACTTTTCCATCAATCATCCTTGAGAGACCAACAGCATAATCACAGATGTCAACATACTCCTGAACCTCACCAATACCTTCTGGTTTAATCTTGCCAACTTCAAGAGCAACCTGAGATATGAATTCATAACAGTATTGGTTTGTATAAAACACAATTTTGTTTTAAACTACCAGAAACTATCAGCACAGTTTTAAACTTAACACAGTCAATCTATGATGCTGCTATCTAAATAAGTTTTACAATGAGTTTTTTTTCAAAAAAAAAGTAAAAGATAATTCATGCACTTTTGCATTAAGATCTCCAAAGAGGGATTTCCAATAGCATTACATTATTAAGAACATATTCATTTCTCTTTGTCGATTGTTGCTCTATGGTTTCTATTGCCCCCATCCCTCTCCTCTCCTTTATTTTTTGACCGTCAATCGCTCCCCTTGGAAAAATTTTGTTCAATCTCCAACATTACCACTGCGGTAAAAATCAAGAAATGCAGCTATAATTTTCAACCAGAAATTACTGAGAACTTGCTTGCCAAAATCACACTTGGCAAGCTACATCATGATAGCCCAAAGAAGTTTGTCAGGTTTTTTAAACAGGTGTGCCATTGCAGTCATTCATGCTACCACAGAGAGGTACTGTGAGAATAAATTTAATTTCTAGAGAACACACCTCAGTAAGCCAAAGCAGGACCTTTTACTGGGTCTGACACATGCATACAGGGCGTGAAATTAACTTTTTTTTTTTCTGATAGCCACTTGGCTCCTAAATTCTTCAAAGTGGTAGTCAATTCAAAAAAAGTTGGCCGCCATTTTCAAAGACAAACAAAATCTTTCTTTACGCTGTCAGCGTTCTAGATAGACCCTCCCAAATTAAATTTGGGAAAAGATCTTTAACGTGCTACAAAGTGGACACTAGGATGGATGATATACAAAGTTCAGGCTCATCTAAATCCAAGATGGCGTCTGGTTATCGATTGAGATGCATGTGCTACGTTTTGGAAACAAACTTAATGAGGAAGTTTGCCGCAGATTTATCTTTGCAAATTTTTTTAATTCACTATATCTCTTGGTAAGGTTATGATGAAACGTTCTAGTCGCCAATTTGACGACTAACTTTCAGGATTTGGTCGCCAAAGTGAAAAATTTAGTCGCATTGGCGCCTGTATTAGGCGCAATTTCACGCCCTGGCATACACTGATAATTTTTTCTTTGCCACACCTTATAGGATTAAATAAGAGTTAACACCTTACAACTGAAATCAATCTCCATGAGAGGAAAACACCCCTGTTACCTCATTTAACTCACCAGTTTTCCAAGGTTTTCCAAGTTACCTCTCAGTGCCTGGCCAATCTGACGAACAATTTCTCCCCGTTTTGGAGCAGGTGTCTATTTCAACCAGTCATGATAAAACATTCATTATGTCCATTATCGAATATCATATTCATAACTATCATAACAATTTCAGTCTATTTTAAGTTGCACAATACACAACCTAAAATTATATTTAAGGAAATTACCTTAAAATTTGATCCATTTTAAAAACTACATTTCCAACAAGCAAAAGAAGACAAAGTTTTACTAGATGATGCTGCTTACAGTTCTTCAAACTATCGCTGTCAGTACAGGTGTTCAATCCATCCCAGTCCTCTTACCACTCCAAGCTATCTTTTTTGACCAAGGTTTTTAGAATGCCTGCACTTTTGTTTTTCTCCTTTAACCTTTAACTCCCATAAGTGACCAAGACAGAATTTCTCCTTACAGTAACAATACAACATCAGCCAGATAAGTGATGAGAATGAAGAAAAATATTAATTTGGGGATAATTAGTTGATCCAATACTAAATTCTCTGAACTAACACTGTAAGAACTGTATGGTTGACAGTAAGGAGAAAGACAAATTTGATCTGGGATTTAAAGGGTTAACCTTTAACTCCCAGAGGTGATTAACGTGTAATTTCTTCCTGTAATTTCCACACATTATCCAGAAAACTGGTAATGATAATACTCAAACTTATCAGGTTGAAGTTGTACTTTGATCTAACACCAAATTCTCATAACCAATTTACAAGGAAATGTGTAGCAGCTCGAGGAGGGAATTTAGGATTAGATCTTGGGAGTTAAAGGGTTAGGGCACAAATTCCAGGATCAGAGTAAACCATTAGGTTAGATTTTTCTTAATGTGCTGGGGTTAACTTTTCCAAGCAGTCAAGCCTAACCAATTTTCATCGTTAGAACCCAGTCCCTTATTCACTCAGAGCATATTAATCTTAATTAATTATCACTCCTGTTACATCCATTGAGACAAATAACATTTACAATAAAATTCAAAAGTAATAAACCTAAAAAAAAAAAAAAAGTTACTTAAATAATACCATGGCCCATGACTTCCAGGCATCCTTAGCGAGCTTCACCGAATCATTGTAATCTTCTAATGAACCCTAAAAAAATACAATCATTTAGGAGAAGAATGATATAGTTACAGCCCTCCAATCTATATTTTTGTCCTCTTTTTTTTTTTTTCATTGCACTGCTGTTATTTGATCAGAGTAAACCCTATGTTTCTTACTGTGCTGGGGTTCACCAAGCCCAACCAATTTTGATCATTGGAACCCAGTCCTATATTCACTCAGAGCACATATATTTTTTGTCTTCTTTTTTTTCTTTCATTGAACTGCTGTTATTTACGAGAAAAATGATACCGACTTTAATTGATCGCAAAAAGATCGAGTTTAACACGGTTCCTTTATTTGCTGGTTTGCTTTTTTTTGAGGGGAAAACTGATGAGTCTTATGACCTACGTGATTCTACCCGAGTTAGATCGGTGATCATACACTGATCATGCCATAAACGTCATAAATGCCACGTGCAAATGAGTTTTAGTACATAAGCTCACACAACCTGTTCAGCTGACCTTAAAAGAAATTGTACACGATTTACAACGGAAAACAAAACTTACTTGACGAACTCTTGCAATCGGTCGTCCATTAGAAGGACACACAGACGTTACAGTCTACAAGTGAAGAAAAATAACACGAATCAGCAATCGTTGTGTGACACAAATATTGCATCCCCGTATTAATTTGATGTACCTCTCCTCTTGCGCCCCAAGAACCATTATAAACACCATCATTTTCAGCTTTGAGTCCCAGATCCTTCAACCAGGCGTACTTTTCTTCTTCAATCAACAAATTTCCTTCCTGTGCAGAGCAGAAAGAAGCCTTACTTAAGCCTAAATAAATGGAACGAAACGCTAAACTTTTAGGAACCAGTCGAAGCACCCGTACCGCCATTTTGAATCCCAGCTGAAAAGACCCCACGTGATTTTTGGGGGCGTAAAGAAGGCGTGATCGTACCCAGTTTCTTCTACTCGCTCGGCTGGTTGATTCGAAGCCACGTCAATTTCACAGGGGTCGAGTAGTCGAACAAAGGTAAAGTCCGCGAATAAGGTACGAACAAATTCTCCAAGTTTTCATTCCTAAATAGTGCATCTTCAGGTTATTGAGGAAATGCTATTCTAATTTCTGCAGTAATCGTGACATTTCTGACTTGCTCGAACTATAGTTTTAGCTCTACCAAATAGTTCTTGCGGTGAAACTGGCAATCCATGAAACTTGAAATATTTCAAATGTATTTCCGCACCGCATTTAATTGCCTGAAGTGTTTCAGCGTCAGTAGACGGGGGAAAAATGATATAATTTTGTTATCGTAAAACTGCTAACAATATAAATATACTTTTCGTTACTGTAAACTGTTTTCTAATGATAATAATTTGTTTTCCACTTCAGATACTGGAGTCAACATGGGTGACATAGATACAAATTGCATGACCCTCACTAGGTTTGTTTTGAACGAGCAGCGAAAGATTCCTGGGGCCAGTGGAGATCTCACTCAGTTGTTAAATGCAATCTGTTGTGCTATCAAAGCAGTATCTTCAGCAGTAAGAAAGGCCGGGATTGCTCAATTGTAAGTCCGTGACTCAACAGATATGCGATTCTATGCAAATTTTCGAGATTTTAATAGACCTCATTGGCAAGTTACTGATATTTGCTTTACAATCAAGGTTCATTAATAAAGCGTGTCAGGACTTTGAACCAAGACTGGATAAAAACCTCCTTTTAACATGCATTATTATGAAAAGCTATGTCATTTTTAAGTAATGGGGTGAACCTTTCCTTTATTAATAAAATAATTTCAATTTGCTGCGTTTGATTGTGGCTGCATGGCCGCTGACAAGTATCACCTCTCAACTAAGAATATTTCTTTTTGTTTATTTCATATTTCTCAAGTCAAATTACCTGCACTATACAGGAATATGTTCATTCAAGGATTTTCCCTCATTGGTTTCTGTATTTCCTACGGAATAACCTTTCTGACAATTTGAATTTAATTGGACTTCATGACACATTACAATTACACAAGTTTGTCCTCATGACAATTGTTTTGATCTGCCGGACCTGACTGAGGGTCGCAAATAGTTTACTCTCGAGGCATGATTAAGCTCAAAATTAATATGTGACACTTTGAAAGTCAAGGCAAGGTGAGGTTTGAGGTTTTCCCTTTAGAATCGTGACACATACTGTTTAGTTAATTAAAGTAAATGTGATGTCTGAATTTTTCTAATTTGTGCATGAAACAGGATGAGGACCCCCTTCTCCTCCCTTTGTTTCCCCTCCTGACTGTTTGTCAACATTTTGCAAGAATTTTGTGAGGAGATATGTTTTTCCTGGCTGTGAACCAGGAAGTCATAATATGCCAATTATTATCTCAATTAGAAATGCACAACTTCTTGAATGAGTAAATTGAAAGAAAAACTCCTGGTTTGATATGTGTTTCAGATATGGTATTGCAGGTGATACAAATGTTTCTGGAGACCAACAGCAAAAATTAGATGTGATGGCAAATGAACTGTTTGTTAATATGCTGAAATCATCTTACACAACCTGCCTTTTGGTATCTGAAGAAGATGAAACGGTTATTGAGGTGGAAACTGAAAGGCAAGGAAAGTACATGGTTTTCTTTGATCCTTTGGATGGCTCATCAAACATTGAATGTCTAGCTGCTATTGGCTCTATTTTTGGAATTTCAAGGAAGGTAATTATTTTCAAGAAAATTCTCTCATTCACCATGTATATCGTGTTTGATCAAAGAGCCACACTCCCCTCTCATCCATTGTCAGGTGAAGATAAACAGTAATAGATTTTCTAGAGAAACATGAGGCATATGGAGACACCCCTGTTTATACTGTTTGACTCGAGATCTCATGAGTAATTCTTATGGCTTCCTGCGATACAATTCTTATGATTTTAGTTTGGATAATTTGGTATTTAATCATAAATTAGCTAAGTATCCCCTAATTGATATTTTTATTTATTCTTATCACTTGTCTGTTGATTATATAATGATATTGTAAACAAGGATATGCATTGTGTATTAGGGTTTCATATATACTATTATAGAGTAATGCATGCACAGACTAAGTTCTCAGCATAACTGCTTTATCAGATACCGATGAACTTAATATGCAATGATAGATATATGGATAATCACATGACTGCAGTTAAGGGTGTGGTAACCAATAGAATAAAAATTATGTGATAGCTAAGGTGTTTATCCAATAGGACCAAATATTACATTATGTTACCTGTAACGTTTTTGTAGTGTTCAGTTTGACAAGAGATTTGAGGTTTACATTTAAGAATTTCGTGTTTAGACTACATTGCCTTCTTTTAAAATGTATAAATGTATCACTTTTCTCTTCACTGTAGGAACACGATGGACCACCAACCATAGAAGATGCTCTCCAGCCAGGAAGAAATTTTGTTGCAGCAGGGTATGCACTTTTTGGAAGTGCAACAATGGTGGTGATAACAACTGGACATGGAGTCAATGGATTTACACTTGATCCAGTAAGTGCATGGAATAGAAGGGAGGCAAATTTTATTGCATGAAAGGATAAGCTAAAGACATAAAGATTTTGAATTATGTGATAAATAACAACTAATTTGTCCCATTCAGGCTCTCTACAATTTTTTCCAAAGTGACATGCATGACTGCACTTATGTACAGTGTCAATCAAAACCCAATTACTTTTGGGCCTAGTCTCCAATATTAGAGGGAATATAAATTCTTTTATTGTAGAATGTTCATTGATATTTTATGTTTATTATTTGACTAAACATAATGTTTTAGCTGATCTTAATTTTCTTGATGTAGTCCATAGGTGAATTTGTTCTCACACATCCAGACATAAAAATGAAGCCACGTGGCAAGCCTATCTACAGTATAAATGAAGGAAATGCTTGTTTGTTTGATGAAGGAGTTACTAAATACTTAGAATCTATCAAATTTCCAAAGGTGAGCATCACATGAGGGTTCCATGAAATCAGTCATTAAAAAGCTAGTTTGTTCTTGGATGGTAATATCTGCACAATCAATATTTACCAGCATGGAGGAAATCTTTTTCACAATCACACAGGATATTCCAATATCTTTGATGTACCAATAGAGGTCACACCCAAGATCCATAGTGGCCTTTGACCTTCTTGTTAATGTTTCTTAGGCAGATCTTGGAAGATCTTTTACTAGAAAATCTTTAACTTGGGATAGAAGACTGTGCCATGGGTAACACTTAATGTGAGGATTAAGGATATTGAAAATTATGTGTTTACAATTTTTAACCACAACAAAGTAAAACTACAATTTCAATGTGATGGCTTATGAAACTATTCATATGTGTCATTTATCTGACCTATAGGATGGTAAATCTCCATATGCAGCTCGTTATGTTGGCTCAATGGTGTCAGACATGCACAGGACATTAGTGTATGGAGGAATTTTCATGTACCCTGGAAATAAGAAGAACCCTCGAGGAAAGGTATCAATTGAAAAGGAAAATTTCCAATTTGGAAGTTTGCCTGTATGTTTGTAAGTTTGTTTGTTCTTGAGGACTGAGATACAAACCATAGAGTGTAAGATCTTGATGATCTCTGTCATCGTGATCATTGGCATTGTGATCATCATGTTTTTCATCATCATCGCTATTTCTCACTATTATTCTTCTTAATTATTATCATTGTCTTCATTATCGTCATCACCATTATTGGTTGAAATATGTCATATTTACTTGATTTAAGAGTGGTGAAATGTATAAGGCTACATTAGTTCTGATTGATTTTTTTTGTGCTGATCACATGCTGATCACATGCTGATCACTCTTATTAAGTAATAACTGTGATTCTTGATATATCAGTTTATTTCCATTCACTTTTTTATTCATACGTAGCTGCGCCTTCTGTATGAGTGTGCACCAATGGCATATATCATCGAACAAGCTGGTGGAATGGCCTCAGATGGCAAACAACCAGTCCTAGATATCAAACCAAAGGAACTTCATGAGAGATGCCCTATCTTCATTGGATCAGCAGAAGATGTTAAAGATTTCCTCAAGTTTAATTCAGCATAGTGCCCTATTTCTTACAGTGTCTTTCATGAGAAATGAAGAGTAACATGAATTTAATGCAGTTACTGTTAGTAGTACTTCAGGCGTTATTTCATGACTGTTTTTCTGTAGTGTTAGTAGTTAGGCAGTAGACTAAAGTGGTGAAGGTTATTCAAACTATTTGTAGGCTATAAGGGTGCTTTATATTTGTTATTTAACAGTGCTAATAAAAAGAGGGTTTTTTTTAATCTATAACCATGGCAGCATAGGGTTGTGTTGACTGTTTGTAAATAAATGCTTACTTAGCGAATATGCCTGATTCTCTTTGTCTTTGGGGGTGGCATATGTGTGAAACCAAGAACCTCCTTTGAATAAAAACACAACTCATCATTTAAGTTAGCAATTCAAAAAAGTAAAACTGTCTCAATTGTGCTGAATCCAGAAATAGGAATATTTCTGGACAACAGATTATCTAGAGGAGCTTTTGTATTGAACAAATGAGGTGTTGCGGAACAGGCTAGTGGGAAGAGAAAGTGAGAAATGTAGGGGTCATTCTAGAGAAGCAATATCTAGTAATAAAAACACTTCAACTGTATGTTCTTTTTAACATTATTATTATCATTATCATCATCGTCATTATTGCTATGAATTATATTTATTGTTATTGTTGTGCTTGCTTTTATCATTCCATTTTTGTCAGAGCTCTCATGTCTCCGTTCACAGTTAACAGTGCAAAATTAATAATAAATCCTTACCTTGCCAAAAATACTAAAAAAGAGACAAAGAAAGGAAAAGGAAAGTACGAGTTACTTTTTTTAAATTTTATTTATTTATTTATTTATTTTATTTTTTCTATATATTATACTTACACTATACTTACTTCTTACACGATGCTTACACTACATTAACTTGCACTACTTACAATACATATATTACAATACAATTACACTAGTCAAATTGAATTACAGTTGATCTATTTACGTTATTGTTTGCATGTTAATTGTTCAAGTCACTAATAAGAATTTTGTTTGTTAATTACACTACATAGGGTATTAATATTTAGAATCTAATAGATTATTAAATAAATAGGTAGCGAAAAGAAACAAATCAAAATACAAAAGTTGAGAAGAAAAGAGACACAATACAATTTTATAAAGACTGAAAAAATTTCCATTTGTTCCTGAATTCCTTCTTATTACGAGTGACTGCAATATATTTTTCTAGATTAATTTTTTCGCGCACAGGGGAGACGAAATCATCGAATTGGTACGTTGTGGTATTTAAAGCGTTAACATATAAGAAATATTTGCCCGAAACAATGAGATGGTTGAGGGCTAAACAGTAGGTGTGACAGCGAATAATTCCGAACATAACCTCTGACAGCAGCAGTTTCTTATTACTAGAGATTGAGTACCACTCCTGGAATTTATTCCAAAAAGAACTTGCGTACATGCAGTTTATAAACAAATGCCACAGGGTCTGACACTCCGAAGGACAAAAGGGACAGGAGGGCGAGGCAACTTTTTTCACTTTGTGTAACAAGCTATTCGTTGGTAAAATTCGGTGAATAATTTTGTATTGGAACATCGTCAATTTTATTTCTCTCGTGGCTTTGAATGGTCGGAGGTAGATTTTAGTCAAGTCACTTTTCTCGACGCCAGACGCTAAAAGTTTTTTTCTCAGAAGTTGGTGGGGGTAGATCTTCAAGGTTAAGCAGCGTACTGTATATTGTCTTGCATGACAGTGAACAGATTGAGGTGGGAGGCCTAACTGGGTCTTTGGAATCTTCTTGCAATACTTTCTTCCAATTTTGGGGAATAGAAGAAAGAATGCTATAATACTGTAAAAAGTTACATTTTACATTGAATTTATTGCAAAAAGAATTATATGGAGGGAAATGGCCCTCACAGGAGTCAAAAACGTCCGAGATTTGTTTTATTCCTGCTTGATACCAATGAGGAAAGAATACCATTTTCTTATTCAAAGTTAAAAATCGGTTATTCCAGATTGGCTGTGAGAGGACCTCACTTTTATTTTTAGGTGTGGCCGTTGCGATGTCCTGCCAGTAAAGAATGATTTGATAGTAGAAAGCAGGAAGATGGTTGTCAAGGAGATTATAATCATAACTACATTCATCAGTTTTGTACCGCCAACATCAGCTAGGAGCGATTTTGGTATGTACTGCCATGGAGCATCTGAGTTAGAGGATAACCGTTTCACCCAGTTTAACTTAAGCACTTTGTAGAAGAGAGAAAAATCCTTCCTGTCCAAGCCCCCAGCTGTTTTTTGCTTAATATTTTGGCGGGTTTGTGACCCCAAATAAAGTCGAACGTGATCTTGTTTACTTCTTTACTGAAGTCTTTAGGGGTGTTCATGACGCTGCAGATAAAGACCAGTTTTGAAAGTGCTAATGTTTTCATTATATTTATCCTACCAACGATTGAGAGGTCTCTTTGGGACCACATAATCAATGTTTTCTTTAAAGATCCTAATTTGTCAAAAAATTTTTTCTTTTCAGACACTTCTGGATCATATGTAAAATGCACCCCAAGTACGTAAATTGGCTCGCCGCTCATTTGGAGATCAAGTATGGTATCTTTTCTGTGGTGCATAGAGCCAAGCCATAGCATTTCATATTTTGTTTGATTTAGTTTTAGACCAGAGCACCTTTCGAAAAGCGATAATAAATCAAATAATTTCGACGCTGGTTGGACATCAGAAAGAAGTACAGTTGTGTCATCTGCATATTGCGAAAGTTTAACCTCATTATGTTTATCTATCGTAATATCTTTCATTTCTTTTGAGCGTCTAATAATTTTGCGCAAGTAACTCAATAGCAATAACGTGTAGTGTTTCGGAAAGTGGGCAACCTTGACGCACCCAGCGTTCTAGATGAAACTTTTTTGAGGCATATCCGTTATTCAAAACATTTTCATCTAGAACGCGGGGTGCGTCAAGGTACGAGTTACTTTTATTAAGAGTCATAGTACGTGTCCACACTGTCTCATATGACATTGGTTCAGTTTTTTTGGAATTGCTCTTTTCGTCTGACAAGCCGGTAGACGTTGAGTTTTGAGTTGCTCCATTATATACGTGAAATAGATTTTTTCACTGTGATACGCTTTGAGGACGAGGGCACGGTTATTTTATAGATATCAAAGTAGCATTATACTAAAGAAACCTTTTCACGGGTATTATATGTGTCAAGAAGATAGAGAGGAGTTGCTTTGTCTCTGATCTCGGAGGGCTTGAAAATTTCATGTATCTTCGGGACATTTCCTTTCTTGTGAGGCAAATACTTTGCACCATTTTTCTTTAAATGGCTAAAGGACCTGAAAAAGACGGTCAAGATTTAAATTAAGAAAATGGGAGGCAAATGCATTATATTTCAACTTTTAACAAGGAGGAAGTAATGAAATACTATAATGTACTGGAAGCAAAAAATGCGTTATCTAATAAACGGAAGCCGCGGGTTTCGCTCATAGCGAGTTTCATCCACGAAGCGTTTCGCCCAGTTCTAGACCCAGACCATAATTGAAAGAATTAAGTACACAGAAAAAGAAACTCTGATCCGACTAGACCAACATAAAAACCCGAAAACATACGTAAACAGGTGGTAACAATTACATACCAGTATTGCAGGATCTGTGTTCCACATTTGAGTTATGCAATTGTCCTTGGAAGTACCGTTTGAAGACATTTTTTAAGCCGAGCGAGGCGAGAAATTTTGTATAGCCGGTTCGTATGGCCATCTATGATTGAAAGACACTCATGATCGATATTAACCCTTTTTGTACTGGAAAAAGGGGCGTTTTCTCTTTTTGATTGGCCAGTGAACTGACCAAAGGCTAACAACATCTTATGGAACTAGTTAACAAATTGTAATTAGGACCGCGCGTCTATTCGTAAACAACACAGTTTTATTACGCACTGTTGCTGTTCGTATTCAAATAATACTTGACTTCATTTTGGAAACAATGGAAACAATAGATTGTGCCAACTTCAAAACTTTCCGAGTAAACTTCAATTTTCTTTTCAAATTCTATTAACAAGTGAAAGGGTGAGGTTTTTGCAAGATAGTAATTTTCTTTAGTACGAACTTTCATACCGCACGCTTTGTCGGAGTCAGGAAAATTAACGCTTTCAACAGCATTTAATTTGCTTCAACACAAAACAAACGCGACCTTCTCGAGAAAATAAGTGCTGCAGATAAAAACAAAATCATAGTTATACTTTTTCGATAAACATTTTTAAACGTCTGTTTTGTATTTCGCGCTCAAATTACCTCCCCAGTTCCCGCTCGATTCTCAGTGAAAGAGACAACTTGTTCGGTTCAACATTTATATGGTCTCAGAACATGTCACGTTTTTCATGGTATTACACAACGTTCGTTCTAGGCATACGCACGTTTAGGTTAATGTTTTTCGAGTTAGACTGTAGGCCTACTTCTGGGCGAAACCATTTTCTATGTTCCACGCGCAAGTGTCTTTAAATTCTATTAACAAGTGTAAGGGTGAGATTTTTTGCCAGACGGTAAAATCCTTTTAGTTAGAACTTTCACACCGCACGCTTTGTCGGAGTCAGAAAAATTAACGCTGTTCCACCTGCGCGCACTCATGCACTAGTCTTGACTAGTTTTAATTACTTCTTCTATTTCTGGGCGAAATCATTCTCGTTCTGGGCGAAACGATGTGGACGAAACTCGTTATGAGCGAAGCACGCTATATTCTTTCTGTAACCATTTTCACGATCAATAATGATATTACTGCAATTAAGTCTTCCGATGAACACATTACGAAACCTTTTTTACACGCAGGCACCAAGATTTGCTTACAAGTCAAATTGAACGACTGGCTGAATATTTTTGTTTAAGTCAAATTGAATAACTGGCTGAATGTTTTTTATTCTTTACGACTCTCAAAAATAGAGTTGATATAAGTATCAGTTTATTCATTAATTAATACCCTATGTAGTGTAATTAACAAACAAAATTCTTATGAGTGACTCGAACAATTAACATGCAAACAATAACGTAAATAGATCAACTGTAATTCAATTTGACTAGTGTAATTGTATTGTAATATATGTATTGTAAGTAATGCAAGTTAACGTAGTGTAAGCATCGTGTAAAAAGTAAGTATAGTGTAAGTACATATGTAAGTATAATATATAGAAAAAAAAGAAAAAGAAAAAAATACATATATCTTCCAGACATGTGTCATAATAACCATCATATTCCTGTAAAAATGTTGATGACAAAAAGGAACATGTAAACTAATATGCTTGAATTCGGTATTAAACTTCAACAAATTAATCACCGAAAAAAAAAAAAGTGTCAGTTTATTCGAATAGAGCGAGTTTCGCCCACAGGGAGTTTTGTCCACATTGTTTCGCCCACAACGAGAGTGGAAATTACAGTGATACCTCAAAACAATAGCAGTACTAAGTCTCATTTCCTCGGGAAAGTCCCTGTTGTATTATGTCATTTATTTCCTGTTTTTCTCTCGATCAGGTTGATGAATGAACGGCAAAGTTTTCACGATTCTCAATACAAGTTGTTTGTCGGAGCTTTCTCGAATTATGGCGGCTAAAACACTATAAATTCCGTATCGCTAAGAGACAGCGAGGTTCAAACTTTCTTAGAAGGGGAAGAAAACCAATATACTAAAAGAAAAACCGAAAGTTACGTATTCAGTGGCGTTGGTGTTAGCATTTCTCTCGGCTGAGAATGAAAATCGACACCTGGAAGATTTGCCACTAACCGATTTTGGCCGTTTACCTGAAAAACCTCTTCAGTCGGTATGGACAGAGTTAATAAATGATAATTTTGTAAATTGAAAATTACGACCATTTTTGCTTTTAATTTTAAAAATTACAACTATTGTTGTTTTTGTAATCATGATTCAACGCATTTTTTCCATCTTAAGAGTTAGCGCCAACGCACTTTACGATTGTTATTTGGGGATTGTCGATTCATTTATTTTCATTCATTAATGAAGTCGGCTTTTCTTTCCAGTAAAGTGCTATGATGTTTATATGATAAACAACATAATACGTGGTTGCTTGTAGATATGGAATTTCTCTTCTCGTGTTCAACTCGACATCTCACTCGTTCGCTGCGCTCACTCGTGAGCTATCGAATCGAGTTAAACACTCGAAGAGAAATTCCATATCTACGAGCGCCCATGTATTGTACTCTATATACCCTCTTGCTCTTCGCCGACATGAACGCGAAATTGGGTTTCACTGGCTTGAGTTATACGCTCTAGTGAAAATTTTCACAATTCTAAAGTGAAAATGTGAGTCTTTGATTGGTTGATATAATCATACAACAATCATATGACCTCAAAACAATGGCAATGCTATGACTCATTTCCTCGGGAAAGTCCCTGTTGTATTGCGTCGTCGATTTCCTGTTTTTCTGAAAATGTCACACAATAACAAAAAAAAAAAAAAACAAACTCTTTGAGGTAACTCAGCATGACCTTTTTGAGAATTAGACCAATTAAATTTTGCCATGTCGACAAGTTCTGAACAGGAACAATCGTCATCTTTCCTAGAAAAGAAGAAGCGGTTGATTTCGATGATATCAGTCGTGAAGGTAAAATTAGGAAAAGCTGTGGTGTTTTGTTTCCTGGCTTGATACAGTGTTGGTTCTTGCTTCTCGTACCTAATATCTGATACTACGAAAGGTGACCAAAGGTGCATACTTGAAGCATTGAATAATTACAAAACAGAGCTCATTTTGAAATGGCGGCTAGTGATGTTAAACCTGCAATTGTCTATGAAATTACGGGCTTTGACCGATCTCAAGTTGTTGAACAACTTGAAGGCATTGTCAACCATGTTGGTTATCGAAACAAGAATTTCTTTTATTATTTGGGAATCTCTAAAGTCGACCAAACAAACCAATTTCGCAAGTTCTTCAAACTAGAACCAGACCCAGAGGAAGATCAACCTGGTAATGGAATCATATCAGTTTTTAAAGGTCATCAATTTAAAAGCAGATCTTACGACAAGCAATTAGTTGATAAGCTGGATGAAAAATATGAAACGAATACCTCTTCGTTCGCTGAAGATCTTGAGGACCTGTTCAAGAACAATACCAATATAGCTGGATACCCATTCGTAACTTCAGAAGTGTACATTCTCTTGCTATTCGAAATAGCGAGACAACGAGTAAAGGGTTCGGACGAAATGAAAAAGTACAACAAACTCAAGATTGATGAAGCAATTACAAATCTCATAGCACTGATGAAAGCTGATTATTGTAGATTCGACGACGTATTTTTGGAAGGAGGAAAATTTCATTGCTTTAATGGCGAACCTAAAGATAGAGAAACTGTTATTGAAAAGATTGAAAAGAGCCTCAAACAAGCGCAGCGGAAAATGAGGACGTAGAAGAACTGAAGCAAGACTTACGCAGCCTGTCCGTTAGCGGTTCATCGTCGGCAAAGAAGACCTCAAAGGCACAACAGAAAGATCGGAAGAGTTGGGTTCCAGGTAGACTATTTTGCTTATTTGTACCTGTAATTTTTTGCAAAAGATTTCATAAAACTGAAATATTGATCTCAGCGTCCGCATATGCTGCGTTTTCAATCAGCTTCAAAATATATTTCTGTAGTGACGCAAAGTAAAATAAGTTTCAACTGGAGTTAGTAGTTTTGTAACAGCTGGCTGATTATTGAAGCGTAATTCATATTGTAGCGGTGCAATTTTTTTTAAGTCTACGTTTTGAACACGTAACTATGTAAGGTTTCTATTATGAGGTAGAGAAGGAATTTTTCCTGCCGAAACAAAAATAAATATTTCTTCCTTTTGATAAGAGATGAGTATTTTCTCAGAATTGAATTATTTCAATTCATCAAGGTCACGTTTAATTTAGATCAAGCGTGAATGTCATTTCCCTTCTTTTACACGAGGACATGTATTTGTAAATAGCCCTATGCTCAAATAATGAGCACATCCACGGTGACATGAAATCTAGCTTGTGATTCTGCTCATCAATTGAAAAGCTTGTGGCTGTGCTGGGAGGAAGTCACAGTACTATCGAAAACTTCGTTTTGAAATAGACAAGCTCCATTGCTTCTCTGTCTCGATCTTGTAAAGGCGACTTAACACGCAAAGGACAAGGTTGAGCGATCTTTTGAAAAATGAATTAAACGTAAAGTGCAATCATATCTTATAAGAGGTTCCTAGGCTGCCGTGCGTCTAAAAAATCTATAGGTGACCTCAAAATTCGTGAAGTAAGAGCAAAAAAGCGGCACTCAGAGGCGTAGCCGGGTGAGTCACTGGTATTTTTAACTCGTTTTGACGTCTCCTTTTATCAAAGAATAATAAAGAAGCAATCAGCAAGAAACAATCAAGTCATCCAGTGTTGCTTTTCGGTCTCGACGCCTTCTCCCCTACCCTCCTCGACCCCCCACCCCCCTTCACCCATCAAAGTACCAAAGTCAGCTTGAGATTCTGTGACTCTTTCCCTGTGGGTTTTTCGTTTTTTACTCTGGCGCACTGTGCTAGTTGAGGAATTAGTGCGCCGAACTGCAATTGCTCCCCTTACTTTTTATTTTTGTTGATCGAGTTCTAATGTCAACACGCAAGCTTGAATAGAACGTATTGTACACAGAATATTTTAAGGCATCAGATTATAAGTTCGACTAATTTGTCCAATTGCTTCACCATAGGTTTGTTTCAAGGAGTTTTCTATGGTGCACCAGTTTCTGCCAAAAATTTGTTGTGACTTACAGAATTCCTCGATCAGCTGTTCCTGAAATTCGTTTTCTGTAGGTTCCTCGACTGTCATTTCCAGGGCTTCAATTTTGGCTTCTTTCGCTCTCCCTGAAGGAATCTCCTCCTTTTCTTTCATATTCTTAAGCCAGTTCTCATTTGGAGAACTATTACTGTGCTTTCTGTTTGTTTGTTTTGGTGGGTATTAGCTACATTATTGTCGATCGTTCATCTGGAATCATCTTGGTTTAGCTTCTTTCGCACCTTGTCCTGCATGCGGGTTTTCATTTTCTCTTCTCATGGGATTAAAATATAAGCTCCCGCTTTTCTCGCTAATAGGTACGCAAAATTGGTTTTCACTGGCTTGAGTTAAACGCTTTGGTGCTTTAATCGAGCCCCTATAAAGCTCACCATCCTCGCCAAAGTTGTTGAAACACTTCCATACTTATTTCTCTGCATATAGACTTGGAAATTAACGCACCCCTGGGAAGAAGGTACCCTTGGAATCATGGCTGGGGGTTTGCGCTCAGTTCTCCACAACCGTTTTCAAACGGCTGGCTTCCAGAAGTTGCATTTGGTTTTATGTCATAGTTGTGAGAAAAAAAAGAAAAAGAGTAAGCCATATCAGCATCAATGTTATATTTTGGTTACTTAATTCTTTCCTCAATTGATTCCATTGGAGTTAAAGAGAAAGATACATTTACACTATTGCGTGGTTCCATGACCATAATGTCGCAAAATCGATATCAATTGTCAAACCAAAACAGCGGCTAATTATTGGTTTATGTTGGGCAACTCCTTCGATCCTAGACTAGACATTATAAAAACATATTTGCTACATCTAGCGGCCGCTAAGAAATTCTGTGCATTTGATGGTTCCTCAGAAAACTAGAATCTGTCGAAATACCTCGTTTTGATTTGAGATGGCTTGCAGTATTCAATCGCTTATAGACATGCACTCCGTGCTATGTGATAACACGACAGCTAAGAGAGACTCAATAAGGTGATGGCTTTTACGGCTAGCGGTTGAAATTGTGGCTAATTTAAGGCTAACGGTAAACATCTTTTCATTCTTATAACCAAAATTTTTTTAGTCAGTTTTTTTTATTACGACTAAAGGTTACATTTTGTCAATTTTTCCGCCTAATGGCTAATTTTTTGGTCGTTTTAACCCCATTAAGACCCTCAGCTAAGAAAGCGACTTAAAAAACCTTCTCAGATTCGTAAACTGAACATCATCCAACCAATTCCTTTTTTTTTCATTTATCTCTTGGACGAAATATGTAAAAGAGAAACATACTTTTGTATAATTTCTACATATATTAGAGGCGAGATACTCGCTTTTCTTTCAGTATGTTTATATCTCCTCGTTTACGTCTTTATCTGTCATATAGAAATTCAATCCCCTCTTGACAGATACATATTCTTCACGTGCGTAGGATCTCAAAATTAGTAATTGTGATATTTCATGTCGTATAAATGGGAAGAATGGTACAGCTGCCGCTGTGTCAGTTGTTTACTTCTAACTGATTCGACTTAGAAATTGGTTATATGCCGAACGTCAAGTAAATGTTGAGGACTGTTGACCATGAAGGTGAAGAGCATTGCTAATATTGCTAAACTTCGGAGAAAAACTGTCAAATACAGAAGGCATCAGTTGTTGATCGAAAAATTGATAGCCATGAAAGCCTCCTCTCGTCCATTTGAACAACCTAGGGCGATGACATTGGAGGTATATGACGTTGAAATATTACTTCGTACAGCTGAATTCCTTGATTCATAAGAGAGATCATTAAAAAGAGGGCATGGGGCTCCCACGTCAGTGGGTGTTCTATTTATGTCAAAGAACAGATGCAGTCAGACCTGGGTACAACTGCACCCACGTTGCAACATCATTCAAATTTAAAAGATTTCAGAAAAACTGGCTTAATATGGATCGCTGTCGCAGAAAAAAAGTTTCCGGTGCCTTTTTGAAGGAATGCGTCGGGATGATAGATGAGAAAGAAGCCACACAGCACCTTAGAAGGGGGCACATCTCCTAAGTAAAGAGGATGAGAAGTCATGACGTTCTGATATGTACCCAACAAACTTCCTTTAGGTATCTGATTATTCCATGCAAATAGTTTCTTTATTCCTTGTTGGATATTTACTCAGAGCTAAAGATTGATTTTAACGGTGTAAAGCGAAGAACCCTTGATGGCTCCCCCGCATAGATAAATTTCATTGCAGGTGCAAGATATGACAAAGGAAAAGTGTAAATACGTTACCAATGATATTTACCCTGATAAGTGCCATACTTCTTTGGTGTTGCTTGTTGTGGTTATTTAAGTGTAAAAAGTATTGCTGTAATCAACCATTCTGTCTTGCTAGGTCAGTGGTGACACAGCAAGGATGGCTTTCAAGGAGATCTTGATCATTATCTCTTTGGCTCATGTAGTTGGTGCTGCCCGGGTGAAAAACTGCGGCGGTAAATATCCACAGCCTACATTCAATTTATTTCAAATGAAAAAAACTAATGAAGGCTCAAAATCCTTAATCATTCACCCGCTTATCCGTGGCAAAAAAATTGTTTCAGTATGTCTAGAAGAGGAAAAAAGTTGTTGTTCATGGTGGTTTTGTAGATTAATTGTTTGTCTTTCGAAGTAAGAGTAAGGCTTATCAATCGTGTTATGACTGCGATGTTTCGACTGCTATTCTGCTGGTTTTCGTCAGACGACGAGGTCTAAAGTTTACGTGTCGCTATTTATAACACCTTAGAAAAGGGATGGCAGAATCTCCTTTTTTGTGAGATAAATATGTTGACTTTTCAAGTTTAAAACCGAACACCGATAGTCACAGAATAATAATTTCATAAAAGCATTATACTGTTTTACCTACATCATACAGCCCGAGTGGACATACCACCCACTTTCGAACCTATCTTATACTTTTAAGATTTCACAATTTTTTGTCAATTCAAATCCTTGTTATGTTGATCAAGATCATCTTAAATTAAAGGAGCAGGGATATAGCAGTGGTGAGAGCGCTCGCCTCCAATCATTGTGGCCTGGGTTCGATTGCCGGGCAAGCGTCACATGTGGGTTGGGTTTGTTGTTGGTCCTCGTCCTTGCTATGAGGGTTTTTTCTCTGGATTTTCCAGTTTTCCTCGCTACCTCCACGAAAACATTCAATTTCCATTAGGAAACAATAGAGAAGAAGAGCCACCTAGTGGAATGTCCACTGCTAAATTTCCATTTATATATTTAATTCCCATTTCCGTTCCCTAATATTTTAAATAGTTTTTGTTTTCTCTACCTCTCACGTAAAAAGGGACGATCCAGCCTTATAAGTTGTCATTCAGTCCGAATGCTTTGAGAAGAAATGATAGAACACTTACCGTCAGAGGAAGAGTAAAAATTGCCAAAGTTGTGCGTGGGTCATCATTCAGATACCGTGTTCAAGTTTGGTCGAAAGGGAAGGACTTGTGCAAAAATCTTAAAAGTATTTGGTAGGTTAAGCAATGAAACTTCCTGATTCTATCTTTTCCTCTTATTGAAGATTCCACGTACGGCGTTGACGCTAATGAGGTTGCCTCCTTAGAGACGGTCCTAATGGGGTAAATCGATACCCGTAAAACGCCAAAGAATTTAGCCTCT